CTTGGGCATACACATACATGTAGGCCCAGTCATGGACATTGTAGGCCTTCTACTGTACACAAATTACTTCAGGGTTTTTAGAATGATGCGAGAGGTTTAGTGAGTAGACTAGGGTGAGACAGAGGTCCTGTTGTTTAGAATGATCCAGACCATTGTTTAGCTTTTGTCTCATGTCAGCTCTCAGCATCTCATACAAATTGGATGCTAGAGGTCAAATAGGGTCATACTCACTAGACTCATGGGACAGCCGTCTTGTCATTAATTCAAATAGTGAAAATATGATCCAAATGAAGCTACAGATTGATATACTGTAGTGTTTAAACAGAAGGCAGACATCATTTTCAAACTAACAGTATGATGGAAGTGGTCTTCACCTCACATACAAATTTCTTTGGGTTTGAAGCTGTGAGAAGCATGAAAATGTTTCATTATTATGAGTTCAGTAGCTTAGAACAATAACAATTTGGGATTGATAAGTACTGATTGATAATTATACATTTATTATCTAATCTATTATAATCTAAAGATATATCTATGCATAATAAGAACACAAAAAGGGTGCTTATGAAGCGCCAGCCACCAAAGTCTCTTTAATAGCACTATTTTATTAAATTTTAGGAGACAGTATTGTAGAGGAAATCTTTGATGGCAATTAGATATCGAACTGAACAAAACACTGTTCGTCAAGAGAAAAATGCCTTATTTTTATGAGATGAGTAGCTTGGAAAAACATGGGAAGAACATAAGGCCGCCAAAAAAGATGTTTAGCGTTTGGCCTTTTTGAAAAATAGGAAGGAGGAGGCCCTTTTTTTTTCTTTCAAAATGGCCGCTCGGTACATTTTCCCTGACGGTCGGGCTATTTTTCAAGTTGGCCGCCGGCATTTTTTTTTTTTTTTTAATCAGAGGTAAATGACTTTAGCTGTGTTTTTCATCGCTAAACATGTATTTTTTTTAATGGCCTTATGAGATGTGTAGCTTGGAAGAACAAAATGTTTATAAGGTTGAATTGAGAATGGCAGAAGAATGATGGGCTGTCTCTGAAGACTAGTTGTTGAGAGAGAAATGGCAATGAAGTAGGACAAGGAGGAAAGAGTTTATTGTTAGAAGAGATGTGTATTAAATAATACAAGAAAGCATAACAAGAGCACCTTTGTGTGTGTGGTCTTCAATGGGTCTTCTCTGAGCGCTAGGTAAGACCCTCCCCTGCAGGTTTGTGTTCGACGGACTTGCATGTGTGTCTGTTTTGTATCTCAAAGAGAAGAAAAGACTGAGATGATGCCTTCTGTAGTAACAATTTTCTGGTTTTTCTGGAGTTTATTGTTTGTAATGTAAAATTATGTCAGCCAACAACTTTCTGGTTCGCCCTGAGCCCCCGTTTATTTTTTTCACTGGTTGATAGATTATAATCATCAGGCATATTTCTTTAATAATACAGCCAATGATAGACCCTGATGGAACTATTATTATTATTATTATTATTATTATATTACGAGTTTTGTTTCCATCTGCTAAAGAGTTCATCTCATAGTATATATAAGATGGAAAAAAAAAGAAGAGGATAATTTGAAGAAGAGAAAGAACCTTCTACCGAGGGCTTTGCAATAGTCCACTGAAAAGCTGTTGAGATGATAATAACATGCTTAGGTAATGGCTGAAGTGAGTAGGATGAGAACCTGGATGATGATGATGACATGGGGTCTATTGTTGAACATACCATCAAAGCTCGCATCACAAAGATGCTATTCAGGGATGCAGAGATGGAGAGATGGAGAGAGAGAGGGAGAGGGAGAGGGAGAGGGAGAGGGAGAGGGAGGGAGGGAGGGAGGGAGGGAGGGAGGGAGGGAGGGAGGGAGGGAGGGAGAGAGCATAGATAAACACTTTGTCTGATGATCAGCATCTTCTTAATGCTAGTTCCAGAGCAAGGAAGCAGAAATGTTGCTTATGTTCTTACTTTTGGGTTTTTAATCAGTTATGTAGAGAAACAGAGAGATTGACTCAGAGAGAGAGAGAGAGAGAGAAAGAAAGAGAAAGAGAGAGAGAGAGAGAGAGAGAGAGAAGAAAAGTAAACAAAACAAATGTAGGTCATAGTCATAGTTTCTTGTGTTGTGTTTTGTTTTATGCTTGGAGAATGAAGATGGTGGAATTGTAGGTCGTTGTTTAAACCTCTACTGGGATTAGAATGATCTACCACACATACACCCACATCCTCAGATCTGCTCTAGAAGTAAATGATATGAAATCTTACAATTATTTTGTTTGAAATATCTTTTAGTTTTATTTAGCCATGTAATTGAAATGGTTTTATGGCATTCTTGTAGCAATTGGGAAATATCATATATGTGAGAGAGAGAGATCATGAACGATGAAGAGAGAGAGAGAGAGAGAGATAGTCAGGATTATTAGAGAGTAATAAAGCAAGAAGAGATGAGAGAAAGATATAAGAGATGAGAGAGAAGAGAGAGAGAGAGAGCGAGAGGGGATGAGAGAGAGAGAGAGCGAGAGAGAGAGAGAGAGAGAGAGAGAGAGCGAGAGCGCAAGAGATTACACAGAGAATAGCCTCATCAAACATGTTGAATTTCATGTATAAAGCATTTGTTGAGAGCCAGGATGGCGTTAATGCATATTAACACATAGTCACCACCCTTATGGCTCGCAACAGTTAACATTAGGTTACAAAAACTGTGCTTTCGAATCGGCAGTAGAATGAGGTCTGGAGTTTTCACTTCAGACAATAGAAGACTTAATTACTAATTTATATTTTTCACAGCCTGGACAGCATCAAGAATGGCCCTATCCATCTATGACTTGGCGTGAAAAGAAAAGTTGACCACATAGCACACAGCGTCTTTCATTTTAAATCTTAATGAGTAATTTCCCCTTTTTTAAAATGCTGGTGAGATGATATTTCACACCTTGTTGTAGCTATAATGACCTATTGTCACGCTTGACTAGGTTCTTCCAATTATTCTACTCCTTGAAGGACACTAAGAATCTCATATACATGCTAATTACCATTGGTCTTCAGATGCCGTTTTCAGCAGACCAACAACTCCTCACTCATCACAGAGATACCAACCAGTACGATTAAATCGTATTTAGTACGATAATAAGAGTGATATCGATCTTTAAATCTTAAAATATGATTTTTCATCTTTTTTTTTCAAAAAAAAAAAAAAAAAAAAAAATTAAATCAGTATTTTTTTCCCAGTAAATCATGATGACATCACGATTTACTGAATATCACAAAAACTTTGAAAACAAATATTCCTGACATCTATAATTGCCTACAATATTTTCAGCCTATTTATTATAAATGACAGGGATACGTGTCGGAAACAAGCAAAATTGATTAAAAATTCAGAAACTAAATATCACAAAAATCTAGAAAAAAAATAAATCTTCATATCTATTGTATATCGAAGCCTATTTACATTTTGTAGAATTAATAGAGTGTATTATACGAAAGTGAAACATGAAACTATCTTCCTTTTAAATTATGGATTTAGCTTTTGCAGTTTTTTTACAAGCTCACAGTGTACATGTCCCCATGAAATTAAACCTGGGTTGAAAGAGACAAATGTAGATAAAATGCATTTGGAAAGAGGGTATGCCACACAGTAGAATAAATTAAGAATCAACAGATAATACAGTGTATGTACAAAATGCATTGGAAAGGAGAACACACAGTAGTTATATACATAAACTTGAGCTCATTAGCATATATGCAAATCATTTAGAGCTCTACGTTTTATGGGCAGATCTACTGTGACCAGCCCATATGAAACTTGATATTTTTGTATTTTTTTTTAGGATGATCAGCTGATGATTTAAATATTTTTGGATTTAGACCAAAAAAAAAGGGCTTTAAGGGTAAGAATGTATCTAGAGCATGATAGAGCGAATAGTCGGGATGCATTGGCAGGGCCTTCCAATTAGACTCCAAGCTTGAAAAGACAGAGGGTATTATTGTCAGTGTGAAATATGACGGGATAAATAAATATTCTAGTGACAGAGAGGGTTATTGTATGATATTTTGTGCTGGAGAGGGCAGATGATATAAACAACCCCAGATGGTCAATGTCATCAGCAAATTCTTCCTTTCTAGGGACTGTTCACACTCACAAATCTAACATGGTGAAGTTTTCATGCAGGAAATGAATTTGAAAAGTAGATACATGTACTGTAAAATTAGAAGCGTTTGTGACTTGTTCACACTTACAAACATTAACCAATCTAACTGTTGAAAGTGTACATGTAACTTCTAGTAATGTCACTCAGTGAAGTTTCATACAGGAAATGACATTGAAAATCAGATTAATGTAAACTCTCAAACATTTGTGACCTAACGATAGTTAATTTTCTACAAGGAAGTTTCATAAAGTGCAAAAATTCAGTGTTGTAATACATAATTTAGAGGATTAAACTTTTGCGAATTTGTATAATGCGCCAAATGCACGAAAGTTTTAAGTATGCACATTTGTAATTCAATGTCAATTTCTGCTTTTAATCCAGTGGATGGTTTTCTTTGAAATAATCAGGAGATACATTACAATTTTTTAACTTCCTGAAGTTTTGTAATGAAAAAAAAAGACCCAGATGTTTTTTTTAGGTATACTTATTACAATATGTTTGATCAATGTCCAGAAATATTCGAGAAGCTTATATTTTTCTGCTCCGTGTCCCATAAGAAACTTTTCATAAATTCTAGATCAAGAACATGAAATTTCCTATGATAATAGAAAATATAAATGATTTTTAATACTCAACATTTTATGCCTTTAAAATAACTTTTACGCCTTTAAAATAACTTTTACAAAATGTTTTCAAGGATGATAATGGCTATCCATAATTTTAAAGTCTAACTTAGAGATAAGTTCAACTTAGGATCTTTGTGAAACACCCTCCAGGATTTAGGAAAATCTATGATTTTAGCTTCCAGTGTAAATGCAGCTCATGATGTACATGTATAATAGAAATTTTCTGTCTTTTTCTTGTTGCAGGTGTGAAGAGAAAGAATCTGGCTGTAACACTCATGTGCTAACCTGGCTCATCATCGAGTATCCAGGTATGTATACCACGCATCATTTCACAAAGTATATTATCATAGTTATCAGTTCTAGGCATTTGTGTTTTTTTCATTTGAATTATTATAAGACACAGTGGGTGGTATTCCGGTAGTGCATACTAAGTTAGCGCGTACTTAGGGCGCGTTCATGCTTGATTTTGAAGGCAGAATGAGCGATTTGTAACGCTCATCGTAAACGCTCATCGTAATCGCAGTTCCACGGTGCACTGTTCATGCTCACTTCTCCAGGCAATTCTCCTTGGGTGGCCTTCAGCTGGATTCGCAAACCTGTGTGTGCATGCTACGTAGACCCACTAGAGGTCAGTGCGTTGACCCCATTTAAACGCGTTTACAAATTGTAAACGCATCTTTTTGTGAGTTTACGATCGGCGATCGTGATCGCCGTTTTTCGGTGATTCTACAAAAGTGAGCATGAACGCAAGCGTGTTTTAAACTAAACGCGTAACAGATGCCTGATTCTGGCCTTCAAAATCAAGCATGAACGCGCCCTAAGTTAGTCCACACTTTTATGGAGTGCCTGTTGCCAACCCATTTACCCTGTACAGATTATTTTAATCCTGCAATGAAAAGTGTCCAAAAAATTAATATTGCAATGAAATGGGAAGAAAAAGATAATATGAGTGTGAACTGAATTTCAACAAAGTCTTCGGTAGATTATCTTGTCATGAATATTGAAGGAGGAAGATGACACCTAGCATTCCATAGAAGTGTGAACTAAAATTCTTGTTTAGTCTGGACTTAGTCCCGGCTTAACTTATGAGAATACCACCGAATGCCTTGTTAGAACTATTGAGCTGTACCTGACATTGCTGTTCTTGTATGGGGACAATATATCACATTATGATATATTGTCCCTATGCGTTACCAAAGAGCTAAACGTATTTCAAGAAATAAATCCTGCCAGATACCCACTCAACACTAGGGTGGAATGAGACAACTGAACAAAACATCTTGTCTAGGGGTCATGCCCCATACAAAGATTTGAACCCTCTACCTTTTGATTGAGAGTCAAGTGACTGAACCACTTCACCTCGATGAGCTTGTGGTTTTCTTTAGTTATTGTGGAGATGTTGTGATAGAGTGGTCTATTTACTTGACTCTCAATCCAAAGGATGAGGGTTCAAATCCCAGCCAAGTGCTGATGTCCTTTGCCAAGACATTAATCCACCTTTGCTACTCTCCACCCAGGTGTAAATGGGTGCCTGGCAATTAATTGCTGGGCTAATATTAACTGCAGGGCCCTCAGGAACAGCATCATGCTAACGGGTCTTAAGTGGGTAAACAATTATCATCATAATAACACATTAAATGTAGATATACCTTAATACGTACATTGAATGCACTTGTGGCTTGCCGCTCCAGATGCCAGAGGATGTTCTGGCACACCATACCCCTACCAGCCCTCAATCTTGTTATAAAAAGACTAGAAAAGGATGTGATTCCAATCAACATGAACCTCTTTCACTCCTCCAGGAAGATCTTGCGATAAAAGCAACATTGGGCTTGGTTATGGTATCGAAAGTACGCCAGCACCTCTGCGTTCCGATGGGTTTTGATTTGCGTGGCTTGACTACTTTCACTCCAACCCCTAGACCTTCTGTTCTTAGTTTGCCTCCCTTCCTGTTGGATGACGACTCTCTTTTCCTACAATGCTCTCCCTTATCATGTTCACCACACCTCTAATACACCATTGTTTTGCTTTCACTTTGAATCAAAATCACATCCACAAAGTCAAAAGGTTTTATTCTTTGTCAAATGTAATGTGCAAGTTGGATGATTGTAATATTTATCTTGGTAGCTTAAGTGAAAGGTTATGCCAGGGTAAAATATACTTCAACAATTTTGGGGGCTACTTTTCAAGCTTACTTGCATGAAAATAACACTCTTTATTTTGTTTTTCATTGAACTCTATGCAAATTTTTTTTTTGGGGGTCTTTTATGACTTTCGGGGGCTCTTTCACCCTGGGCCCCTTGTGTATTTTTTTCTCTGCTTGGCAAGGCATATAAATGATTATTTTTTATTTTTTATGTCTGTGATATTCCACATGGGGAGGACAAATCTTTCAGGATTCTAAGGAGGTTAGAATCGTTGATCGTTAGACTATTAATCATCCACTCTCTAGCCATTCTAGAATTGTACTTGAACTTTTATTTTTGTACATGCCAACATGTACATGTACTAAATATTTATGCCACATATGGCATAAGCTAACATTTGATTATCTTTACATTAAGCTCATCATCATACCAGTGTTTATTCTTCCTTGTGTGAATTTCAAATTAGAGAGAAGTACATGTAGTAGACTTTCTTTAAAAATATTGTACATTTGATAGAAATCGTCATTTGAAAAAACGAGTAATTAATTGTGAAATATTTTAAAAGGGTAATTTCTGAAGACGATAATTTCAGTAATTTCATCACCTATTCAATAGGTGATGAAATTACAATAGTATTGTAATGTGTGAATTGAAATGTGCAAACGTGACATTATCCGGACATACAATAGCGTATCGAAGTTGCCCCTGAGCAGATTTTTTTTTGGGAAAAATAGCTGCAAGGTGTTTCTGGAACTTCTCAATGTATTATGAAAACCAGTGGCTTGACCATTTGACCAACTCATATCTTTCTAGTGAATCAAATTGGTGCTGTACCTTTCACCATCTCTTCATAGAGGAAGTCCGATGGCTCGGTGGTAGAGAAGTGGTCTTCTAACCGGGAGGTCCTAGGTTCAACACCTAGTCAATGTGATTGTGCCATTTTGTAAGGCATTAATTCTCATTATCGAGTCCCTCAGAGAGAACTTAAAGCCATTGATCCCCTGGTTACTTACATGTACCTACAAGCATATACTTGCTTTCTTAGCAGTCGGGTAAAGCAATCCTCAAACATCATCACATATGACATTGCATTTTAGATGAATGTGAGAGCTAAACAATTTATCACCCAAATCCATTCGTTGCTTCCTCTGTTAGTTTCTAAATGGTCTGTTCACACTTAGAGACTTTGGTGGTAAGCGCTTTATAAGTAATGTTTTTATTATCATTATTATAATGGAAATTTATACGAAGCTTGTATATAGAATTGTTGAATAAATGATCATTGTATACCGAAAGGAGCGTTCAAACTCTGAGAAAACAACGTTGTATAAAGAAACAAAATGTTGAAGTGGTCAATGGACATCTTGCCAATAATCAGTGGGCACTCACTATAAGCCCTGCCCAGTTAGACAAAAAAAATACACGGGGGCTCAGGGCGAAATTGCCCCCGAAATGCCCAAAAGAGCCCCCGAATATCAGAAAAGAGCCCCCATAAATTTGCATATATAGAGTTCAATGCAAAACAAATTTTAGAGTGTTATTTTTATGCAGGCAAGCTTGAAAAATAGCTCCCGCAATTTTTTTCTCCCTTTTGTATGATGGGACTGTCAGACTAGAGTGGGGACGCCGATTCTTTATCACGTTTTTTTCTTCAAAATGATTCTCAGACATGTGTTTTGCTATATGATGATTAATTACATGTCACTTGGACTAGAAAATTATTTTAGAAACTATAAAGAATAGTAGTAGCCTGAACGCAGCATAAGACGCTGCTTCTGTTTTAATAGGCGACGATCTAAACACCCAACCCTGCTATACCAGTAAGAAAAGAGAAAAAGTTGCATTCTTTTTTAAATCCCTCCCTTCCTGTGAAAGGTGCTTGTTCCCTTCTGGCTGTGAGATTAGACAAACCACATGGGAAATAAGTATGATGTAATGAAACGTCGTTTTGGAAGTGACATCATCATTTGTTTCAGTGGGGGTAATAGTGTCGGCCTTGTTCACACTTTGTATTAGGTTAGCTTTGTGATTACATGGAAAGAATGCGAGATTACTACGATGGAAAGGTCTACTGCCTCATAAATAAATACAGTAAACCCTGCTTAAGCCACTACCTGTATGTAGACCACTTTTTGCATCCTCCTTGAGAGGTATTAGGAACTTTTAGATTCTGCACGACGAGAACATGGACTGCCCATTTAAGGCAATGTGACGTCCTTTTAAGGCACTAGTAGTGACGTCACATTGCCTTAAAAGGGCAGTCCACGTTCTCGTCGTGCAGAATCTAAAAGTCCCTATTATATACCGGTTTGACTGTAATCACAAATTGCATACAAAAAGATAAAATTGATTACATGCCTTCATTATTTTTCTTTCATTTCTTGTGAAAAAAGTAAAAATGTACTAACGTATCAATGGTTATTAATGTCACTTTATTGTATGATGAACAGGTTTTTCAAACTTTAGTTACTTATATCTTATCATAAAGAATAAGCATAAAGTTCCACGTTAAGGTGTGAGGCGTTGCTGTCTTTTGTGTGGCATTTTTTCTGGACCAGTACATTTTGTTTTCTGCAAGAGGCAAGGCATTTTATTTATAACTGCCACCTCTTACCCAGGAGAGACAGGACAGGATTAAAGCCTGATGCCTGATGCTGTCAAACAGGCAAGCACAACAGAATCATTTAAAACTCTGTTGAAGACCCATCTTTTTGTAAATTGTTAATTATGTTCCAGCTGTTTAGTGACTTCTTTGGTTATAGTATCATGTACATATTTAATATTTAATTCAATTTTCATTTAATTTTCATGTTTTTTCATGTTTAAATTTGTATTACCTGAATTTACAATATATTACATGTAAGCTATATAGGAACTGTGTATCATTATTGTTGTTTGTAACTAATTATTTTCATGTATCAGGCATAAATGTTCATTTCTATTCCGCCGTTTTCCTTCATTTCTAAGCGCATAGGGACTTTCTTTGTGTGAGTGATATGCGCTATACAAATAACGTTCATTATTATTATTATTATTAAAGCGGATCTTTGTTGTGTAGTTGGTTCATGTATAAAACACATACCACAAAAGTATTGAATATCTCCTTATATATGATCGGGAATACAATATTTTCTGCACTCAACTTTTAAAAGATAATAACA